CAAAAGCTCCAGATAACAAGGTTTTTGTTTTTTGTTTTGTTTGCTAGAAATAAGACATTTTTGGACAACTTTATCATGTATAACAAATCTTTTTCCCCCTGTGTGCAACCAAGCTTCTTTTGAATTTTGGAGTTGAGCACTAAGGAGCCGCAAACATCAGAAACATATTGAGTAAGTTCACTGCATTGGGACTTTTCAGGGTGAAGCTGCAGAGACCAGCTACTAAAACTCACCTCTGGGGGTAAGTGGTCACTGGGGCGGGGACAAAGGCAAGAAGAACACTGGCTGTGGTTGGGAAGGACGTCCTGCCCTAAGTCGACCCTAAGTAGCCACAGTTATAAAGGAGGCACAGGTATGAGGGCTCATAAACCAAGCATTCGATCGCTGCTGCTGCTAAGTCGCTTCAGTCGTGTCCAACTCTGTGCAATCCCATAGACGGCAGCCTACCAGACTCCCCCGCCCCTGGGATTCTCCAGGTAAAAACACTGCAGTGGGCTGCCATTTCCTTCTCCAATGCGTGAAAGTGAAAAGTGAAAGTGAAGTCGCTCAGTCCTGTCTGACTCTTAGCGACCCCATGGACCGCAGCCTACCAGGCTCCTCCATCCATGGGGTTTTCCAGGCAAGAGTACTGGAGTGGGATGCCATTGCCTTCTCCAATTCAATCGCTACTGGAGGGCTTTTTCTAGCAATTTGGCATCGAGCTCAAGATTCTTGACACAGTACTATGCCCAGTTTGAGGCTTCTGGACAGGGAAGGTGTGTGGACAGCTTACAGTGGTTCTGAGGTTTCCCCCTAACATAATGAAGGCCAAATTCAGCCTTGAGCCAGGTTCTAGAACCAGCTCTCTCTGCCAATGGGGGTTCAGAGAGGCTGAGTAATCTTCTCACAGTCACTCAGAGAATCCTCTGAAGGGTCAAAACTCACATCCAGGTCTGTCTGACTCCAGGCCTATGATTTTAAACACCGTCATTGAAGGGCCTGCGTGCTGGGAGCAGGGAAGAACCTGGGTGATTCCACGTGGACATGGAAACCTGAGAGGAGACGGACCATGGATCTTCAAGGGTTTGTGCAGGAAGGGGTGATGTGAGCTCCTGGTTCTCCTCTTTTATTTCAGCGGAGAATTCAACTCAAACCTGCAGTGTGAGCTAGATACAGCCAAGCATTGCACACCATGATGCGCGCAAGGGTCCAGCTCTGTGAAGTGGGACCACGTCCATCTTCTCCTCTGGAGCCCCAGGCCTGTCTCAGGGCCTGGCACGTACACACATGCTCTGGTCCCTAAGCAAGACCTACTGATTCCTCTTACTTCTTAGGTTCTGTATCTTGGAATCAGGGTGTAATTTTGTCCCATTGAGGAGTTTTAATCTGATTTATTTAGATATTTGTTAAAGTAATAATCACAGACTTTTAAGGCAAATTATACAACTATATCTGAGAATTATAAACAAATCCACAGCAACACAAAATATGGTAACAGAGTATGTGTTCCTAACTAGAGAGAAAAATCCAATTCAAAAGGCTTTAGCTCCCAGTATTACTCTGCATAATTTGTTTTCAGCTATCAGCCCTAGAAGCACAGAAAATAGTTTTGCTGCATCATCTGCTCAGACATCCTGTGAACACACGCAGTTTGGATGCTGACTCACACGCGTGTAGCTGTCCGTGCGTGATAAGGTGAGGAGGCCTGGCCGGGGTGGGAAGCCGCGTCCCTGAGGACAGGGGGCTGCCCCAGGAGGCCGTGACAGCCTTGCCGTCTGTCCACCACTGCTTCTGACGCATCTTCTCCTCCTCTGTGTTCTGAGTCCTCCCCTCTACTTCATCTTTTGGGTCCAGGCGGTGGCCTTGCTGAACTTCAGCTTCAGTTCCCATGGGATCAAAAATACATGTTGGAAACAAACACTTTTCTTAGGTAAAGATGGTAAAATATCAGTTTTCTAGAACACGTGGGGAATGAAGTATTTAAATTCGTTGACAGTTCTACTTTATTTAGAATTAATTATATAACCTTAAAAAATAACAGCCTTGTGTGCATGCTAAGTCGCTTCAGTCATGTCTGACTCTGTGTGACTATATGGACTGCAGCCAGCCAGGCTCTTCTGTCCATGGGGATTCTCCAGGCAAGAAAAGAATATTGGAGTCGGTTGCCATGCCTTCCTCCAGGGGATCCTCCTGGCCCTCTTTAAAACAATAGCAGCGTTATTGAGACATAATTGTATAACATAAAACTCAGCGTTTCAAGGTGTATTTTCAGTGGTTTTGGTATATTCTACATTGTGCAGTTGTCCCCAAACCCAAGCTTAGGGAACTTTCATCATTCCCACCCAGAAGGCCACAAGCAGCTATGGCTCCCAGTTCTGCTCCCCAGCCCTTGGCACCCACTAGCCTACTTCATGTCTCTGCGGACTGGCTATTCTGGGCATTTCATAGAAATGGAATCATGCACTATGTGGCCATTTGTATCGGGCCTCTTTCACCAAGCAGAATGTCTCAATGTTTATCTGCAAAGCAGTGTGTATAGAACTTTACTCCCAGGTCTCCTGCATTGCAGGCAAATTCTTCATTGTCTGAGCCACCGGGGAAGTCCCTTGTTCCTTTTCATGGCTGCATAATATTCTGTAGTACGGTCGTATCCTATTCTGTTCATTTGTTCATCAGTTGATGGAACGTTCTTGTACAACTTTTTGTGTGGACATGTGTCCTTAATTCTCTTGGGTATGCACCACAGAGTGGAATTATTAGGTGCTTTGGTAAGTATGTACTTAGCTTTAGAGGCCAGACCGTTTCCCAGGTTGGCTGCACAAGTTCGCGTCCCGTTACCACAGCCCGCCTCAACTCTCGTCTTCTGTGTTTTGATTTTAGTCTCCCAGTGGGTGTGGAGTGAGTTCTCATTGTGGTTTTGACTTGCATTCCCCTAATAGTATTGACCATCTTTTCATGGGTTTCTTAGCCATTTGTCCATATTCTTTGGAGAAATATCTAAATAATCAGATGATCTTTTGCTATGTCAATTGTATTGTTAAAAATCTTTCTAAAATGGGTCAAAGTACTTTTATACTAGATTGGTACTTCCACGATTGCACTTTGAACCTTCTGGCTTTTTGGTGTTGGAAGATGCTGGGCCTTTAGGAAGTCAGCCACATCCCAGAAGTTTTCTTTTTCCTATTATTTCCCTCATCCCTCCCTGAAAGTCTGTGCTGGGAACTGCCCTTGGATAGAGACTGCGGCAATGGGACCTAGTCGTCCAGGTCTCTCAGGGAAAGGGTAGACCAGGGCTGCTTTCTCTGCTGTGGACGCATTAGGACCCGGAAGAGGAGAGAATGAAGGCTCTCTGTCATGTCCTGCCCTGGAGCGTGTCTGCTTACCCTGACCTTGCACACTGCGTGTGTCAGGGGGACTACACAGTGCAAAGCAAAGTCTCATGTGAAATACTAGGAGTTGAATTCTTACAGTTTTTATTTGCATGATATAGTTAAGGAGTAATCAGGCACACAACCCCTCAAGGGATAGCCCGCATGATCAGAAGATATTCCTGAAACTTATTGGCAGGCAGAAGAGCCACCTCAGTCAACACGTTGATGGAATCCTGTGGCTTAAAATAAGCAGAGGGGGATGGGGTGGAAGGTGGGAGGGAAGCTCAAGAGGGAGGGGACGTATGTAGACCTATGACTTATCCATGTTGATGTATGGGAGAAACCAACACACTATTGTAAAAATCCTTCAATTAAAAATAAATTTTTAAAAAGCCATGCTGAATTTTTTCCCATTGTCTTAAATGGCTAAAACCTTTAAATAGAACCTATTGTGTTCTCTTTCACCTTTAATTATAAGCCTAAAAAAATAAATCCCTGTTGGATGCTGAATGCTTGGTAAGTAGTAGGCTCTCATATAACACATTGAATGATAATACAAGAATATTTCATAATTAAATTCAGTCAGCTATGTAAAAATGTCACCCTGTTCCTAGTTCAATATTCTCATGTAAGAATTGAAATAATATTAACAAGAGCATCCCATAATGTTTCATCATTCATTTATTTCCAGCACACACACACACACACCCCAAGATTATAAAGTCCTTGAAGTGGGGAAATATCTTAAAGTACCACTTGCCCATCATGTGTTCTTTTAAAAAATTTTTTTGGGGGTTGATAAATTTTATTTAAGAACTTATACAAATATTCTAGATTGAGTTTTAATTCTCATTTTCCTCCTCTTCTTTATCTTGATTAATCTGGAAGTAATGCAGTTTATGAGCTTCTTTGCTGTTAGCAACTATGCGTAATCACATAGATTATATTTTTCAGATACTTTTTGTAAGATATTTCAAATATCTTTTGGAAAAGGACTCCAGAAGTTACAGTGATCTTGCTTTGGCTTCTTTCTGACTGTTGTGACACCGCTGCCCAGATTGCAGCCGTTTCCATTCACCTTGATCCTCTCCTGAAGAAATGGCTCAGTTTTGGTGGCATCCGTGACTGGCATCTTCTGCAGGATGGGCCTGGTCTGGAGCGCACTGCAGGACCGGCTTCTTTTTTTGTCACAAGCTTTTTCACCGGCGCCTTGGTGGCAGCAGAGGCAGAAAGGGTGAAATTTTTGCATATTTACGGCTGCACTGGGTCTTCATCGCTGTGTGGGCTTTTTCTCCAGCTGCAGCGAGCAGGGGCCGCTCTCAGGCACATGGGCTGCTCACTGCGGTGGCCTCTCTGGCGGAGCACAGCCTCAGTAGTTGTGGCTTCAGGGCAAGTGGGATCTTCCTGGGCCAGGAATCAAACCTCTGTCTCCTGCACTGGCAGGCAGATTCTTTACCCTTGAACTGCCAAAGAAGCCTCTCTCCATGTGCTCTTAATTAAGGATTTTAGATAAACAGAATTTGGGGTGTGCATAATGTCAAAGGCTCTGCCCTACTTTGTTAAGCTTTTGGACCCTCTTGACCCATAGCTCCCACCACCCACCCCAACCTCTGGCAACCACCAATCTGTTCTCTGATCTATGAGCTTGTTATTATTACTATATTTTACATAAAAGAGAGATTGTACAGAGTTTGTTTTTTTCAGACTGTCTGACTTATTTTTCTCAGCATAATGCCGAAGAGGTCCATTCATGTTTTCTCAAATACAAGATTTCATTCCTTTGGTGACTGAATAATGTCTATATGCATAACTATATATCTTGTGATTTCTTTATCCACTCTTCGGTTGATGGGCACTTGGGCTGCTTCCATATTTTGGCTGTTGTAAACAGTGCTGCTATGAACGTTGGGGGGGGGGGCCATGAACACCTTTCAAGTTAGCGCTTTTTTTGGTTAGTGTTTTTATCCTGTGTGGCAAATGCATACAGTAAAGAAGGAATAAAATAATATTTCATGGTTTCATGCTTGCCAAGTAAATGCCAGAAACGGTGGTAGTCGTTTTTGCAAACATTTGACCCTGACATGAGTTCTGGAGAGGGTTCTCTTCACAAAGGGGCGATGGAAGCTCACGGGGGCCGAGTGAGCTCGGGGTCAGCCTCATGCCCTCTGCGTCTCCACCAGGTCCTCTGGACTGGCTGCAAGATCACTGGTGTTTGTCCTGTTTTTGTTTCCTTCTCACGTGTGGGGGTCATTTGGGGCTGGGGCACTAGATTAGAATAATACACACTTCTAGGAACTGTAGGCTCCAGCAAATCCAGGGTGCCTAGTGGGTTTTATCGGTTGATCTTTTAGAAATCTTATCCTCCCTCAATAAAAAGTTATCAAATCAGTTCAGTAATTTCTCAGTTTGGAGTTAGGGATAAGTGAAGATGATTTGAAAGCGTAAGGAAGACGAAAGGTTGAAACCTTTCCTTCAAAATATTTGAGATACTTTGCAAGTTAATATCTAAACTAGCAAAAACTACAGAAAGATTGAGGAGATGCTGCTCTGGCGAAGGAATCAGGGCTCCAGAGGAAGGGCTGTTTTTTTCTGCCAAGTCAATGAGCATATTTTCTGGAATTTTAAACGTAAACTACAGCATATCCTGTCTGTGCCTGACCAGCAAAGGCCCCAGGCTCAGCTGACCGGACGTTGGGTAGGGATATCAGTCTTCAGCCAGCTGGTCAAGGGTAGCCACTGGGCCTTCTTTGGACCGTCTTCCAGCCCTCTGGTCCTGTAACAGAGTCCTCTCCTCCGTAAACTTGCAGGTTTCAAATGGCCTGGTTTTTGTTGCAACCCCTCCTCCCACCCGGATACTGACCAAGTCCCTGTGTTTCCAAGGATAGAGAGCAGGGGCTTGTCAAGGAAAAGTCCTGCTGGTTCGAGGCAGGGAAGGGGACCCTCGGCAGGGGAGATCTACAGCAGGCCGTCTGTCCCTCTGTCCTGCGTCTGTCCCCACCCTCGTCCTGCACAGAAGCTGAGGCTGGAAACTCCACGCTGGGCGTGAGAGCCGCTGGGAGGGAGCTGCCTTTGGGTCTGGATTGTGACACTCAGGTCACAGTTCTGACTTGGGACCAGAGGCAGTGAGCTGGCAGTTGCTTCCTCGTGCTTTCCACGGTTGTCTTTTCACAAAGGGAAGCACAGAGCAGCGATGACCTCGCCGGGAGCCCAGCACTGGGACGCCTGCCCGCCGGCTCCCTGGGGTCTGGTCTTTGTCAAAACTGGGAGCGTTTCCCCGCTTTGGTTCCTGTCCCGTCCTGGCAGCTCCTTGGCCCCACACTTAAACACTCAGCGCAGCTGGTGACACTTCAAATAAAGTGCAGGAAGCCCTGCTGCGAGGGGCTTCTGTTTTCCCTTTCTTGGTTTGGCTTTAACATCTCCCATTGCTCGTGGCCTTTATCTGTTTCCTGTTTTGTAAAAGGAGGGTTTCAAGGGAGTCAAAGTAAATAAATGAAGAATGAATCTGAAGCACAGGATCCAAGCATTTTCTTGACATTTGCTAAACAAAATGACAAATGGGGAAAAAGTAAGGAAACATAAACAAACAAAAAACCAGAAATGAGAGCAAACACGATACGATACTTAAGTCAATAAATATAAATGGTTAAAACTGGGGGGAAAGCCACTTGGACTAGATGATAAAACAAAATTATAGTGTTCCACTTGGAAGATACAAATCTGAAATAAAATGACACAGAAACATTACAAATTAAATGATGTCCAAAAAAAAAAATTAGTCATGTAAACCAGAGGAGTAAATACATGACATCCCAATGAAAAAGGCCCAAGACCCATGTGAAAGGCATGCAGGGTGACCCCTTCTCCATCTGGGAGGACCCGGGAGCCTTTCATGCCGTGGGGTGTGAGCCTGTAACCCCGCTACACAGGCTCTGTGTAACCCTCTGGAAAGTAGTCTGTGTCAAGCATGAAAAGCTTCTGATATGACACGCTGGGATTTTTTAAGCAATAAATTTGGGGGAAATTTTTCTCACACTATGAACAAAAATTCCACATTGATTAAAGTCTATATTAATTAAAGATTTAAAGTGAATCAGGAAAACTATGAAAAATTAAGGATAACATAGAATATTTTTCCAATCTTAGCTTGAGAGAGCCCTTTCTACATACAGTAGAAGAACAAGATGCCATGAGGTAAAAGAGTCACAGATTTGATGACCTAGAAATAAACTAGGTGAAATGATAAACAATAATGGGAAAATATTTGTGACACTGATAATAGAAAAAGTAAATATTGATAATGCAGGTTAAAAACTAAAGGAGACACAGCAGTAGGAAGTTGACCAAAGGTAGGCGCAGACAGTTACTCTGCAGAAGAAATCCGGAAGCCAGAGTGTGAGGGTGCAGCTATCACAGGGAGACACGCACACTGCTGGGCGCTTCTCAAGGGCAGTTTGCTAGCACCGGAAAAGTGAGTGTGCACCTTCAGATTGAATGATTTCACCTCTAGGAATGTACGTTGCAGAAATAACACGGGCTAGGATGATTATCATAGTTTCACGTGGAATAGTGAAAAACTGGAAACAACCTAAATTTCTATAGTTAGGGGGCTGATTAAATAAATTAGGGCACATCCGTGCAAAAATACTTTGTAACTGCTAAAAAGGAATGGAGAAGATCTTTTTATACTGACATGAAACTGCCTTCATGATATGTTGTTGAATGAAATGAGCAACTGATAGAAAACTATGTAGGATGTGGTGCCATTTTTGCTTAAACAGGCAGCTCTACAGAGGAGCAAAGGCAGAGTCCACAAGCAAGATGTTGGCAGTGGTCACTTCTGGACAGTTCAGACCGAGAGCCCCCGCCTTACGCACCCACTCGGTACTGGTTTATACTTTATTTTTTACAGTAAACAAGTATTAGTTTTATAATTAAAAATAAAGATTTGTAACGAACAGTTCATGTTTTCAATATAAATTGCAAGCTAGATTTTCTGAATGCTTTAGCACCTTGTTTTACTGCACTCCACAGACACTGCCTTTTTATACAAATGGAAGGTTTGGGGCAACCCTATGTCCAGTAAGTCCACTGACATCATTTTTCCCACAGCATTTGCTCACCTTGTGTATTTGTGTCACATTTTGGTAATTATCACAATATTTTAAAGTTTTTCATTGTTATTACATTTTTAAGTGATCTGCTATGTCATTACTATGACTCACTGAAGGCTCAGATGATGGCTGGCATTTTCTAGCAGTAGAGTATTGTTTTTTAATAAGGAATGTACTTTTTAAAGATACGATGCTACTGCACACTTAATAGATGACATTATAGTGTAAACACAGCTTTCACACGTGCTGGGAAGCCAGAACACTCCTGACTCCCTTTCCTGTGACCTTCACTTTGTTGTGGTGTTCTGGAACCAGGCCGAGCAGGTGTGCCTCTTATTAGTAATTACTTGTAAGTTACGTATCTTTGTGAAATGTATGTGTTCTTCCCGTGCCTCCGGACTCTGCAAGAAGCGTCCAAGGCAAGCAGGCAGGAAGGTGGGGCCTTCTCAACACTCCCCCAAGTGAGGAGAGAGGCATTAGCAGAGCCAGGTCCGCTCACACGCCTGCAGGCTCGGTAAACCACCCAACAGAGCCGGGCCCCCTCGGGGGTCTGCGTCAGGCTGCAGGGTCGGGGGAAGAGGGGATTGGGCACCGAGTGTTTCCTTAAACTTTGACATCTAGCGTTGTTCCCCGTGATGGGCTGCATTTCAAGGGAAAGCAAGTCCCCGAAATACCAGAGCCATGCATACAAATGAGGCAAGTGGAGGTTTTACAGCCCTTTAATCGGATTCATTGGGACATTCATAAACAGGATAATTAAGGACAAAATTAAAATAATTTTTTTCATTCAGAATTATGGTTTTGCCAGCAACAAGGATGAGATGAAAAGGGAGAGCTTACGGTTCAAAGTATCTGGCAAACATGTTCAGATTAGTTTCCTTCGCCTCTCTGGGTGCAGCATGGGACCGCTATTTCAGGATTGTCACAAAACTTCCCACTGAGGGAGGCTTTTCATCAAATCTTTCTCCTACAACCTATAATTGATCAACTGAGCTCATTTTTATCTCCTTACAATTTTTCAAGGAGGTTTCTTTGGTGGCTCAGATGGTAAAGAATCTTCCTGCAATGTGGGAGACCCACGTTCAATCCCTGGGTCGGGAAGATCCCTTGGAGAAGGCAACCCACTCCAGTATTCAACAACCCATTCCAGTATTCTTGCCTGGAGAATTCCATGGACAGAGGAGCCTGGCAGGCTACGGTCCATAGGGTTGCAAAGAGTCAGACATGAGTGAGCAACTGACATGCACATAATTTCTAAGTGAGGAAACAGTGGGCGAATTCCTCAGTTGAGTCATTGTTCTATGTCTTCCATTATTAAGGTACGACCATTCGGCACATTTGCTGACAATAGAGTAAAATGCCCTAAAGTAGCAAAGAGTCTGTGTGTCCATACCTGTGATGAATCTGATGAAAGGAATGGAAAATTCAGACAGCTCTGGGTTGGAAGGAATAGAAAAGCGAGGTACCTCCTCCGGCGGTGGGTCTGCCTCCCACAGGGTGTGTGGCGAACGGATCCTGCGCTGAGTTTGTGACCTTCTGCAGAACGGGTTTTTCTCTCTCAGGCTGCAAAGCTCCTGCTCTCTTTTCTCCCTGTTTAGACTCCAAAAAACAGCATAGATGTTGAAACATGGAGAGAGTTGAAGCCTATGGTGGCATCAACTCTTATCCTCATTTCAAGAGAAGGAGCTGGGTGCCTTCTGGGCAGGAAGGTTTCCTGAGCAGGAGTGTCCCCTCTTGTTCACAATGAAGTGAACAGGCTTGGGAGGGCCAGTGTGGACAGGGGCCTACAACCGTGAGAGCTGCTGCTCATGTCCAGGTGTCGCTGAGGGTGGGAACTGGCCTGACTTTGGAGGTGCTGGCTCTCTTTCTGCAGGGGGCGGAGGCGCCTGGCTCGCCCAGTGTGGTCCCACCCACGGATGGGGCCCCCTTACCTCCTGTGTGCACAGGTGACACCGCTGAGGGTCCACCCCCCAGTCCTCATGATGCAGGACACCTTCTCCAGCAGCAGACGGTTATCCCTGTCGATGGCGGACAGCCGGCCCTCCTCCAGCTGCTTAGACACACCGGCCATGCCAGGGCCGTGCCAGGGCCGCCCCGCGCACAGCCCTGTCCAGGGGGCCTGCAGCCCTGCCCCTGGGCCTCAGGGCCCCCTCGCACCTGCCTGCGCTGCTGCGGCCGCTCCCTGGGCAGCAGGCGGGCTCCTGTGTCCTAACTGGGATACCCGAGGGCGGGGCCAAATTTCACAGACTTGGAGTGGAAGTAACAGGGAGGGAGAACCGATTCTTTGCGAAATTAGGTCATTCCTCAAAACCTCTGAGCTGTGTCAGTGAAATACAAAGGAAATCACTTTATATTTTAAGAGGGAGATTTTATACTGCTCAGAAGAAAAGAAGGTTTGAGGCCAGAGGAAACGAAAACCCTCCTACTTTATTTAGGGTTTTGAACCGACTGATCTGCCTATTTGCTCCTCTGTTTTGCCTGGTTAGGCTGACACTGGGGGCCTGGAAAGCTCGCAGCATTTTGCTCTGGGAGGTGTGCGATGCTGACTCTCACCAGATGGCTTCAACTCCAAGAAATAAAAATTTCGAGGTGGCCACGGAAGGGTCTGGTTTAAAGGAACAATGCTAATTAATTACTCTAGATCTGTGCTGAATAAATTGCTGCGGTGGATCCCCTCTGCCCCCTCCCCACTTCCGGATCCCTGCCCGGTCAGCAGGGAGATCAGAGGAAGATCCCTGGCTCAGCTGTCCCAACTCCATTCTGGGTGAGACAGGCTTAGCTGGCGGGATGCGATTCATGGGGTCTCAAAGAGTTGGACACGACTGAGCGACTGAACTGAACTGAGAGGCATTTTATTTTTGATACATGACTTGCTTCTTCCCTATGAGCCTGTTTTTTTCATTTTCCTGGGTTTTTAAGCTGATATTTTTTGTGTTGTGTTGGCTGTAACAGTAACTGGAATAGAACTGAAACTTACCTTGAGTTTGCCGAGTTTCAGGCAGAGGTGACTGAGGGTTGGCGGGGCGCGGCTGTCCACCACGGGTCGGGCCTCCTGCACCTGCGCAGAGCAGGCAGTGTGACCCACACACCCTCACCAGTCAATTACCCTGAGTTTTCACTGGGCAGCTTCTGGTCTGTGGGCCCTGGGAACACGTGCAGGTTGTTACAGCGTCGGAGATACCAAGTTGGTCTGGGCAGAAAGTTCTGAAAGAGGCTCTGGACTTGATTCGGAACCTGAGCATCCCCTGGAGGGGAACAGGCAGCCCTCAGACATGGCTCGACATGGTCATTTTCAAGCAGAGAATCAAGTGTGTGTGGGATGAGATATTAAATGGAGCTGCCCGCTGACATCTCCACTCTGCACTGCCTGGCTTTGAGACAGTGAATTACATCCCCGAGTCCACCGGACTCTAGTTTCTGAACTTCCAGCAGTATTTTCAGCATTAGCGTCTTAGCCATTGATTAAGTGCAAAATGATCCATGCAGAGTTTCCTATCAGAAATTGTACAAACAAGGGAAGAATTTGTATTTTAAAATGTGATGGACGAAATGCACGAGGGCCGTAAGTATCACACTTGCAATAAGAAGGAACCCCCGTATTCTAGCCACTTGCTCACATATCCCCAGCTGCTGAGACCTCTGATCTGATCATCTGGAAGTGGCAGCTCCACGACTGCGTCTTTCCAGTGTGAGGACCCGAGCTCTAGGCATCTGGGATGCGAACCCGTGGAGCCGTGTGGTGATGGAGCAGGCGTCTTCTCAGAGAGCCAAGAGCCGGCCAGGGGTCTTGGAAAACAGGCTCGGGAAGCAGCACTTGTGCCCTGAAGTAAGGGGACCCCAGAAGGACAGGCAAGAGAGAGGTCCTCTTCACTGCGTGTGGAGGAGGACATGGTGGATGAGACTGGACAGTCTGTGCTGCCCCATCACCCAGGGCCGTGGGAACAGGCAGAAGTGAGCCAGACTCCGGCCCTCTTGCCGCAGTGTGAGTCTGTTAGGGTGGGGTCAGAGGAGGGTGGAGGTGCTACGGGGTTTTGTTAAGGAAATATCAGCAGCAATTTCTGTTTTAATAAGGTAATTTTCTTAGCATGAATGGGTGTTGAGGTTCTGAGACGAGGCCCTGCCCAGACATGGGGAGGGGCCTCACTCTGGGGGTGCTGTGGGCTGGGGGAGGGGTTCCAGTCATCCTAAAGCTGCACCGAGTCCCTTCCTACCCTCAGGGGTTCTCAGCCCAAGCAGTGAGGAGCTCCTCTAAAGAGCTGACCCCACTCGAGTACAGAAGAAGAACCACAGGGATACCGGGGTGAGTCCTTCCCACCCTCCAACATGCTTGAGCAACCAGACTGGCCACCCCCCAGACTGGGGAGGGGAGGACGGGGACGGGGAGGCTGCGTGCAGTCCTTGTTCTCAGAGAGCAGGGGGGGCTCCAGAACCGGGGGTCGCAGGAAGGGAGGTGAACTGGAGCGAAGCCTAGAGGCTCCTAGGGGCTCCCGCAGGGACGCAGGTGCAAGGCCGGGTGAGGAGGCAGTGTGCAAACCTTGCACCCAGGCGGGCGGCACCCCGGGAGGAGCAGGAACCTTAGGTTCACTCCTTTAGATCACCCCATGGCACCCCGATTCCCACACAGCCGCTTCTTTGTTTCTCAGCTTTGATGGTCAGCCAGCGCCCTGCACCTGGATGGTTCTGAGAGGCCTCGAGGGCAGAAGACTGCCTGGCCTCTCGGGACCACAGGGCCGCCTCCTCAAATGAGACCCACATTTGCATCAGATATGTGGAAATAATAGTGTATCTCTTAACAGAAACGAAAGTCCATTCCTAGTCCCCATTGGAGTTTGTCGTTTCGATAGGGGAAATATGCCATGATTGAGAAAGGATAGTCCTAAAACATGGCACTTGGAAGCCATAGTCTATTTAATGCAATTTTCATTGTATGGCATGACCAGCCTTTTAAGGATATGCCATTTCACCTATTCCATCTCCAAAAAGAAAATTCGCCTTTGGCTTTCAGGGAATCTGTGGCTTCGATGTGCTGCTCTGCACATTTGCCCCTACCTTTCTCCTGTGATCCTGGTAGGCTTTCTCCCACGTGCCCTGCAGGTACCCCCTGCCATGGGAAAGGGTCAGCCGAGGGACTCCAAGCATCTCGGAGAGGACAGAGAGTGGAGGCCTCTCCGGTGCAGCCCTGGACAACTGTGTTTGCTGGGTCACATGACAGTCTCCATGGCACCCAAGCTCCAGGAAGAGAAGAGACCAGAGAGTGGCCTCTGCACTTGGCAGAAGGAACTGAATGTCCCTCCCTTGCAGGGGGTATCCTCTCAGTGATGCCACTCGGAGGAGTGCACCTCAGCGCCCCATGTTCAGGAATAAGGTGAAGACATTCTCTTCTCAAAAATCTTCAAGATCTTAGAAAACTAAGATCATGGCATCTGGTCCCATTACCTCATGGGAAATAGATGGGGAAACAGTGGAAACAGTGGCTGACTTTATTTTTCTGGGCTCCAAAATCACTGCAGATGGTGATTGCAGCCATGAAATTAAAAAACGTTTAACTCCTTGGAAGGAAAGTTATGACCAACCTAGACAACATATTAAAAAGTAGAGACATTACTTTGCCAACAAAGGTCTGTCTAGTCAAGGCTATGGTTTTTCCAGTGGTCATGTATGGATGTGAGAGTTGGACTGTGAAGAAAGCTGAGTGCTGAAGAATTGATGCTTTTGAACTGTGGTGTTGGAGAAGACCCTTGAGAGTCCCTTGGACTACAAGGAGATCCAACCTAAAGGAGATCAGTCCTGGGTGTTCATTGGAAGGACTGATGTTGAAGCTGAAACTCCAATACTTTGGCCACCTGATGCAAAGAGCTGACTCACTTGAAAAGACCCTGATGCTGGGAAAGATTGAGGGCAGGAGGAGAAGGGGACGACAGAGGATGAGATGGTTGGATGATATCACCGACTCGATGGACATGGGTTTGGGTGGACTCTGGGAGTTGGTGATGGACAGGGAGGCCCGGCGTTCTGCGGTTCATGGAGTCACAAAAAGTCGGACATGACTGAGCGACTGAACTGAACTGAAATGATTCTCCCCCAACTAACTCCTTCCATCTTCTCGTCCTCTATTTCCCTGCATCCTCCCCCCTCCCCCTCCCTTCCTCAGTCCCTTCCTCTCCTGTCTTTGAATTTTGTAATAACTTGCACAGTTCCAAATATTTTTGTCTGCAGCTTAGGTGGCGGATCTTCAGTAACTTTTTCTCCAGTGGACTTGAAGACAGAAAGTTTTAGCCATTTTAAGCCATTCCTCTCTCCCCGGCTTTTTCTGTTAGGAATGGGTTTTCTGTGAGACAAAGGAAATAAAGTGATGATAACATTATCTTTTGAGTCATTCTTCTTTGTCAGAATTATATGCATAATTTTGAGGATGACATAATTAGAGGAACGGGTTAATGACAAAATAGCAGTGCTATTTTCATTTTCATTTCATTTTCATTTTCATTTCAGAATTCTGGTCTTCACTACATTACAATAACCATCACAAAGCTCTGCAGTGCAGAGTTCGCGAATGGGAGTTCACCATGCAGCTCTGTGGAAGGGGGCATATTATGAGGAATTGGGTTCCGCACAGTAGAAGATAAATGTAAGAATTATTGCCTAAAAAACAGTCGGCACTTTAAGTCTATAAAGTCTAGATTTTATAGTCTAGTCTAAATTTTATAAAGTTTATAAAATTTCTTAGTCTATAAAGCCTGCACGTCACAATCAAAAGACTTCTGTTAAGTTATTTTTGTTTACCTGGTTACAGGCACTGATCAAGCCCACAGTCAGTGGTGCTTGGTGGATATCTGCCATTAGCAATGATGGAACATGGGACTGATGTTAGTGACCGAGTCCGCAGCTGGGAATCTGAGACTTTTCATTCAATCATGGGTCTACATGACTCTCATCTTTCTTTTTCTGAAGCCCACTGGCCACACAGGCTGAGAGATTTTTGATAACTTTAGCATCTTGCCAGGTGCCTGGGGCAGAAGCCACTCTGTCCAATTTGTTCACACTGTGTGGACAGCCTGTGCGTGAAGGGCAAAGCAGAAACTGGGCAAATCACAGGATGCTTGAGGGCTTTGGAACGTGTGGTCTTGCTGCACTCGCCCTTCCAGCTGTGTGCTGACTGTCCACCTGGGCTTGCTCTCCACTGACCACTTGATTCACGTTTGCTATTTGATTGACTTGGTGGTGGGGCCCAGGGCAGAGAACCTGGAGGAACTGGACCTGCCCTCATGAACAGAAAGGTCACCATCACCTGCCTGGTCTGGCTCCCACTCGCCCAGCCACCCCGGCTGGAACTAAGTTTAGTTGCTAGCATGCTCTCAACAAGATGAGAGCAGAAAAGTCTGCTAGTTCGGAGTTCCTAACGGCTTGTCCTGAGGGAAGAATCTGAAACACCAGCAAGGATTCGCACACGCGGAGGAAGCACTCGGAAGAGAGAGGTTGGGCGGCCTCAAGTTCAGTCTGTAGCAAGAGACGGTGCTGCTTTCTACTGATGTTCTTTTCTGTCCGAGACCCGATCCGTGACACCGTTTTGCATTCTGTGAACTTTTAAGTAGTGAATTTTTACGTGGTTCCAGATTTGAATGTTTAATATTAAAACAGTTTTTACCTATGTTCTGCAGAAAATAAATGCCAGAGCCTTTTTTGATTTGCTCATTCACATGATAACTGTGTGTTTGGCTCAGTCTTAATCAGTGTTTTGGTCCAATTTGACTTGAAAGTTGAGTTTATTAGTAAGGCCTTGAGATGTTGCCAGTGATACCGCAACTACATGAAGCCCTTGCACACGATTGATTCTGATGTGTACACAGGATCGAGTGTTTGTGATACAATATGTTTTAATTAAATCCTTAATATTTGTAAATCTTTTCTTGTGCTCTGTGACCACAGTTGACTTTTCTGTCCCTCTGCCTTTCCACAAGGGCAGTGTGAGCAACAGGCTCCATCCTTATTTTGCAGGAATCTCAAATTGCCTCAAACTTACTTCCTTTTGGAGGGAAATTGGCCCACAGATATCTGTTCTGAGGAATACGGAGGTGCCCCTGGTGGCCTCTGGAGATTACGGGTCATGGGGGGCCTTGATGGGGATACTGGGCACCTCTGTCCAGTCAGGGCTGCTGCTCCTCCAGCCTGAGACACCTGAAAGCACCGAGGGCATCTTAAATGCACCAAGGGGCTGACTCAGGCTCAGGAGTTTCGAAGCTGCGACGCTGCAGTCAAAGCAGCCAGAGTCCTGAGCCAGCACAGAGGGGGCTCTTCCTGGGGGTATTCCAGGTACCAGAAATTGAGGTCCCTGTGAGAGACACATGGGGCCTCACAGGAGAGCCCTGGGGGAAGGTGAACCAGAAACAATCTCTAAAAGCAGTTTCCAGCCTCCTGCAGGGCAGGGACAGAGTGGGGAGTCCCTGCCCCCAGCTCCTGTGTCTGGGCAGCCAGATGCTCTCACTCCATGGGACTGGCTGAAGCAGCCGTGGTTGGAGACATCCCAAGATGCCAAGAAAAAGTGACAGTCTCCATTCAAGGCCCCAAACCTGCCCAGTGTCTCCAGGGCATGAGCGTCTTGCAAAGTGAGTTGACATGAGTAGAACCAGTAGAAACCTCAGAACTGGCTCCCAGAGACAACAGCTACTGAAATCATGAGACGATAGAGGACAATGGTGCTCCCTGTGTTTTAAATGGAAAAAAAGACGAAACTGGAAATATCTTCAGGGAACAGGAAACCACAAAATTTTCAACACATGAGGAACATTTACAAAATTGGCAAAATTTGACCACATGCTGAGCCGTAAAAAGTCTCCAGAAGTTTCAAAGAACCACGATCATACAGATAATGATGCAGTGTGGGGATTGAGCTAAGGATTAAGCAGAGGGACAACTGGGAACCACCTGTATCTGGATGAGCTCCAAGGTCAAGAACAAGACAGGGTGTTCCTGCAGCTGGTGAGTGTGCTTTTAGGATACATCTGATTTATTTGTTGGGTGTTTTGAAAGCAAGGAGTTTTAGTTGTCAGTAATTAGTGATGGTGGGGTTATCTGTAGCCTCAGTTATGCAATCACTTTTCAGGGATGTTAGTCCTGAGAAGGTTCACTTATGTCTCTTAATCCTGCCCTGGAGATATTCTTAGGGAATTAATCCAGAAGAAGAGAAAAGTTTTGAACACAAATGATGAATTTCCATGTTTCTAGTTTTACTGCCACTGGGGCAATGCACCTTCAGTGTCCGCTAGGGGCGGGTCACCTGCCATATTCATGTGGGGTGCAGAGACTGGAAATGCACTCTAACGAAGGGCCCCGGCCTCTGTGTGGGAAGGCGATCAGGGGGCACTCCTGCCCCGCCCATGTGCCTGTGTGGCCCTCACTGTGGAGGCAGCTGGCTTCGCATGCTGTTGGGTGGCCAGGCAGAGGTCGCGTCTTGGTCCTGTGTGCGGGGGTGGCAGGGAGATGGGGTCTTCTTGCTGGCAAAGTTAGCATAAGTAGTTATGTGTGTGGTCTCTCTGGTTTTAGACTCTGTCCTACCACCCTCACTTCACTAAAATAAGCGGATGAGTTCTTGAAGCTTGTTTCTTCCGGGACAAAATTGAACATAAATGTCAGAAAGTGTTTTAGAGTCACCTTGTCCTGGGTCCAGAGGCACTCTTGAGCTACTTAACTTTTAAAAATGGAAGTGATGCTGTGAAAATGGCCCCAGACCCAGTGGGTAGCAATAACGCATGTTTCAGCCTCACAGGGCAGGCCGGGCTGGAGGGGAGACAGAGCTGGGTCCAGGGGCTCTGACTCTGGGTCAGGGATGTTTTCCTCCGCCTAGGCCTCAGCGTGTGCCGTGCCTTGGTGAAGTAACCTACCTTCTGCAGACATCATAGTAGGTATCTTGGTGTCAAGGACACACAAGGCAGCAAGTTTGACCAAGTCTTCAGCTGAAGATGAGCTGCTACTTGCCTTGAGGTTGTGGGGTGCAGGCGAGGGCGGCACCAGACTGGCGGGAGCTGCGGTATCCTACCTCCTTTGCCGGTTCACCAGCTCCCACCAGCGGTGTCCTTTGCTGTATGAGCTTCTGGGACCCTTTCAGTCAGGTTTCTGACCTCAAGTTTTCGTGGAGACCTCGCCGATTAAAATTTCTGACATCTTACTTGCTCATTGC